AAAAATCTCAAGTGTAACTCAAACGATACATTGTTTTGCAATAACAATTAAACTCTGTTCATCAGAAGGGGGCATAAAACCTACTGAAGATAACAAACCGTTGGTAAAAGTACACCCTCATAACTATCATCAGTTTATTAACGATGCAACGTAAGTTATGATTACCACGGTTGAGGCTCGATTATTACCGGTTTTTGTCTATAGCTTCTTGGAAAACGGTGTTCAAAAGGGGTCTTTTGTGAGCATTGTTTATTATCCCCAACCTTTTCATGTATCCATATGTCCAAAACAGAGTTACCTTTAAGTGGATATACAAAACGGTAAGCATATACGTTTTGATTTATTTCAGGGTGTTTAAATGCAAAACAATGTATCGTTTGAGTTACACTTGAGATTTTTATTCCCAGGAGTACTGTATACAGTACAGTATACAGAAACTCTGAAGCTGTACGAGATGTGTCAAATGGTTTGACGATACGGGTAGATCAGTTAAACCTTCTCCAATTAACATGTGCTGCAGCATGCAACCCCCACACTTGTTTATTTCTTAACCAAGCTTTGCAGCATCAATATTTATAGAAAATAATTTTTCGCAACATTCGTTGACTTCAGAATATTCCGATACATTTGATCTGACTCGTCTACTGCAGCGTGACTAAAGTTTGTGCGTTGAGGCTAAAGGACTACGGGTTTTGGCTAAAGGGTTGCGGATTTTGGCTAAAGGATTGCGGGTTTTGACTAAAGCTTGATGTGAAAAGGTGTAGAACAAAGTTCATGCACTACTTTTAGAACACTGATTTGGACCGAGAAAAACCGCTTTTGTCTCGGGAGCCCCAAGTTGTACTCGACAGTTATTAGAACGATGGCATTCCACCAAGCATTCATAAGCAACGAGAATTCCGTTTCGGTTTATTATCTCATAAATAATCTGACTCCACCATTCCCTTTAAAATGCAAAGTGAAGTTTGTACATCAGTTAATGTCAGCATGCCTTCTGAGTTGATAACGTGCAATTGACGTCTATGCTCCACACAAACAACCATAATGGCATGTCCCATGTTAGCTTAATCAAAGTGAATTCTGGTGAACACTGTGGGGAAGGAGAAAGCCAAAAAAACTATCAATGTTGAGGGCATCAAACCAGTGTGACATGCATCTGTCTGGCCGAATTGTAATCGTATACACCAGACTCCGACGAACTGTAATAAACGGACAGTAACTCGAAAGATCAACCATACATCATTTCATTTCTCTAAGCATCGCCCAGTCCACAGATTTACATACGTACCCATTCAAAATTAACTTAAAAATAGGCAACTGAGAAAATGATGATAGCTTGTGCATCAAGAGAATGCACGGAATAAAAATTGTTGAGAAGAGAGCAGGAAAACCTAGGAGCTAAGCGAAAAAGGACTGTCAGGTGGATCACCTTTTTCCAAACAAATATTGTTTATTCATTCGGATTCTACTTAATTCATATGGATCTAAATATCTATAAGTGGAAACTGGCCAACTAGTTCGCCTAAGTTGAAACGTTGACTTTAAGCATGGAGACTAGGTTGAATTTCCCGTAAAACAGTGACACATTTATGGGTGACATCAAGCAACGAGCTCGGTAGTCCAGGTCCAGCACGCATCAACAAAAACGGATTAATGTGATCGAAGGAAAACGACTGCATTGGCTATTCATGTTCAGACCGTCCGGAGAAGTATACAGAAGGATTCTGAAGAGAAACCTCACGGACAGGAGGAAAACAGTTTATCGACAATGATCGAGTGAAGGGTCACAACATGAAGATAACCTAAAGGACAAACACAAACAGTTGTCAAGCAGGATAGGCCTGAATCACCCGTGCACCACAAACAACCAAAAACAAACATGCAAACATGAACAGGTTTGTGTGAGCGCGTGTACGTGTACGTGTTCCGGGAACTACCCGAGCGCGACCAGTGTAAACAGAAAAGTGACCACGATATCCAGATGTGGCGGTGCACAACTAGTCAAGTGCAATTACGCGAAAAGTGATACCGCGATGCACGAAAACAGAAAGCCCCTAAACGTCGAGGTGCGCAACAAGAAGAACTGAAGACAAAAAAATGAAGATAGAAATCGAAGGCAGCTGTAAGGTCTACGACAATACGAACTTAGAAAGAGTCTGGAAGAGAGGTTATCGATAAATGTGAATGGGCAATACGGACATATCCGAGGACAGATGGTCATGCTAACTGATAAGGTCAGAGCGACAAATCCAAGGTCAAGCAAACAAAGGGACAGATAAAAAAGTACGATGAAGAGTTAAAAAGTAATAAAGAAAAGCCGTACAGTTATTGGTGGGACCACCGCCAACTAAAACATTCCAGATCACGGGGAGGGTAGTTCACATGATAGACGACCCAAAAGGACAACAAATACACGACGGCGCATGAATTCACGCACATGCAAACCTCAGACGGTGAGGAGCACGTGTACATGATAAATGTAGACACGGGGGTCGGGAATAGCTGACTGACGGAAGAATGCGTGCAATTGTTACTTACAGCTTGCATCTAGAAAAAAACGAGAATGAGATCCAAAGCGGCAGAAGAAGAGACATAACATTAGACAACTCAGACTGCGAGTACTTCTACAACTGAATGATCATCTGAGTGAAAATGACAGAAGACAAAACCTAGACATCGGCACATAAATTCAAACCGAAGAGGAAACGGGATAGATGATCCAAAAGAGTGTCCTCAAGGTGCGAAATGGACTGGTGCTGAGAAATTTCACAGGAATCCAAACAGCCGGTGTTGTGCATAGAGAAGAAAAATGATAGAAAATTGTGGGCTGCATAATGGTCAGCTCAAATCACTCTGAGCGGCCGCATCTTCATTTCTCACAAGATGTTAGTTGCGTGCGAAACAGGCAAGTAGTCAGAAAACACATCATCTTCACAAGAAGTTTCAATTTAAAGAAAGTACATTCTCCCCAGCTGGCACACAATCAAGGGTTCGAAAATGGACAAACATGAGTGGGGAAAAAGCAGACGAAGTAACCGTGAAAAGATTAGACAATTGACGCACCTGAGTCTGGATCCGGTTCACACCTCTCACCCATAAGATTTTGCCGCCTAAATCAGCGGGCGCAGGCAGGCGCCCAACTTGATCGACTTCGTGTTCCTCTTCTTCATCTTCCTCGTCGTCCTCCGCTTCCTCATCTGGTGCGGCTGCCTCCGCCGATTTGCGTTTCCTACACTTGCACGTAGGAATAATTGCATTCGGTATGGTATTGATGACCTACGTACGGATAAAGCAAAATACAGAACAGGAGCACATTGGGATTTGTTTGTATGAGACTGCAGTAAGAAAAAACTTCAGGATACAATCCGATGCCAATTCACCACGAATCTGAAATCAAATATATGTATTACACGTTAACCACAAGCTTGTCAAAACTGAATCATACACTCGTATACCCATGAGATTACTGCAATCTTGCGAACGGACATTAGTCACGTTTCTGTCCACACTAATGTATGAGAAGGATATGATCACGATGCTTGGTATCTTCCATCTGTCTTATCTACATTCATTTTTTCGCTTACAACGTAGAGACTTTCCACAGACCTAACGGAAAATGTGACAGTTGTCATAAATCACGCTGTTATTCTGATCAACGAGCTGCAAATCTGTAAAAGAACTGAAAATCCATTTGCCCTGAAACTGAGCCATGAGGGCTTGAGTTATGACAGTTATCGGTGACCCGAGGCTGAGTTCCGTACTTTCTGCTCAGTTATGGGAGGTTTTATCACACCCTTAGGTAACACCACCAGTGGGACTGTAAGCAAAGATTGTATAGATTTGTTTACTTCTATCCTGTTCAGATTATGATAGTCAGAAAGACAACACTCTCTTGTTTAGATTGGTATCTTATATGGGATTTAAACATAAATCTGCACGTTTGTACCGTGCACACTCTATCGCCGAATCGGAGGCTACATTCATCGATTCGCAAATGAATCATCCAGTCAACTAAAGGAAGCATATATGATCCAACAATTAGAACGTACGCTGACTACCATGGCAGGTTTTCTATTTGGTGATGCCTCCTTGTAGCTCAGCTAGTAGGACGTGTGTACAGTGTGAGTGTGTGTGTGTTTGAGCCCCACTGCTACTGTCAGTCTTTTCATAATTCAAAATAAAACCATTTCCATTCATTGTGTCAAACGGCATAATTTGTATAGATGAAAAATCTTCAACCACTTGGAAGTATTGCAATTTGGAAAGGGGAGAACCAAGGTTTTGCGGACACAATGCAATGAGAATAGATCAAAGAGATATTAATGTTAAAGAATATAAGGCAATAATTGATTCAATGGAGAATTGGATCGGTTACCCATTTGTTTTCATGTAACTGAACTGAGAAAAGATCAAAAGATTTGATTTTGATCATTTATGCTTATAAATATTCAAGAATTCGTGTTCTACTGAATGCTAATGAGATTTGTTAACTGCGATTTAAATTCGCAGGGTGATTAACAGCTTCGTCGACATTAGGCTCGATATAACATTTATGCTAGTACGGTTAGACAGAGTTTGTTATTTCCGATAACAAAGTACTAGATTCCGGCGACTGAAGGATTCACAACGTCTAAAGTTATCACACAAGAAAAAGATCTCCTTTATTTATCCATACATTGACCATCAAGCTGTATTTCAATGTTAGACTGACGAAATTCGAGACCACCTCCTAAAGACATGGGGATAAGCAGAAAAAAATGACAATGGTTGCGGCAATAATTACCTGACCCCAGATCAGCTCACCCACACCAAAGAACAAACACCACATCCATTGGTCTGCAGTCAAAGGAGCGGTACTAAACGCGTACGATCCAAATTGAATGAGGAGCACTTGAAGGATGAAAGTGACAAACCAGATAACCACAAACAGCCAGTTTCGTTGCAAGCCACTGAACACGTTTCGCTGTCCGTGGATTTTTCGTGCATTGAACTCATTGAATAGGGTCATCAAGACCAGAGTGTTGAAAATCAACGTATAGTGCTGGGTTGGTTCGTGAATTTTCACACCAGTCATATTGTCCACCTCGATGAACAAGTGAGCTAGACAAAAACCCAAACGGTGCGGACACGACAGTAACAGAAACAGATGAAGTGAACAAGAACGCGAATTATCGATTAACAAAAGTGCAGAGTACAAACCGATGGACAAACGCAGATTTACTCTCTAACTGAAGATGGTAGTTAAGCGGTAAAGGCAATCAACTTGCCCGTAGATCATGTGTCCGAACCCCACCGCTTCATTTCACGAAGTACCCCTTTAAATTGTCCACTTTCTCCTTGAAAATGTTTTGTAATATCATGTAATCAATAAAGAAAATCAAAAGAATAAAAGGAAGAGAGAAAACAGTATATCATTCACTGAAAAACGGTTGTTATGAAAAAGCAAATACTTCCTACGTCCATGCACTTATGAAGGCATAATATAGTAAAAAGGGTATTTAAAAAAGAAATCATCGTTTTACTTTTATAAATCAAATTTTAAAGACAAAGTTCATACAGAAAGTGTTGTCAAGCAGCATTAAAAGAAAATTTGGCATTAGACTACTCAAATCCGGCAAGTTTTCCCGACATTTAACGTGGCGTGAGCGGCCGTTTTTACTATTACATATGACCAAAACGGCAGTCAGCTTCGTACTACAACAGCACTCACAGCACCGACAAAGTCGGATTCTAGATTCAATTTAGCCGACGATGAGAGAGAGGGACAGTGGCTGCATCGTTTTGTGGTGATCAGAAGTATTAAGTAGAAGCATCAATATGCAATATCCCTACCACTCCGGATAAAGACGAAACTTTAAACGTGCTGTTCGAAAGGTTGACTGATATATTTTAAAGGATATATATGGGTATATTTATGCGTACGTGTGTACAACCGTTTCAGTGTTGGTGTTCAAGGAGCGGAGCTTGTGGAGAATAAAAAGAAGTGAAGTAAGCTGATATATTCTTATAGGCATTATGATCATTATTATTACGGTGAAACGAACTCAAAATGTGCTTGTCTTATCGACAGGATAATAAGGAAAGACGTAAATAGAACGGACGGTCACAAAACGAAACATATTTCATAATCACCAAAGGTAGTTGGTGAGAGAAAAATGACAGTTACCAGAGACCAGACAGGAAACAAGAGAGTGAATGAACGAATCAAGTAGAATACTACATATTTTAAATGATGAAAAACAGGGAAGACAACAGTCAGTTAATCTGGATGAAAGTATCCAACGCGTTTAGTCTCAACGTTCAAATGAGGAAAAAGGACGATAACTGATCAAACATCAGTCAGTAGATAATGTTAGATCCATTGATTTGTAGGGAAGCTAGAGAATTTCTCCAGGATTATTACAAATCAGCGGCGAATGAGAATCTTTGTCGTTATACTTCGAATGCAATCGATCATGTGGTCTGGATTTCCATCACTGGCACACAGACCTGTTGTGGCCACCTGATGCAAGTCACACATTTTCGAGATAGTAGGCCAGATATAAGTTCAAATGAACAAATTAAAGTTACCGAGTCTTAGCCCCATACACCAGATTATACTTCAGTGTATTGAGAAATTGCGGTAGTTGTTTGAGGAATAGTGCCAAAAATGAAGTTTCACATGTGCAAGCAATGAGCAAACAGTCTGGGAAGAATGCAACTTTTTAATAAGCACTTTGTTTCGTGTGGTGGTAACAGAAGCATTAGTCGATAGCTCCAGTTTAGTGGAAAATGAGAAGGACCGAAAGAGACCGAAAGAAAGTGTAGAAAAAAGAGATGAGAATGAGGTGTCAGAAATGATATGAGAAAAGCTCGTATGTGACTTGTGATTGTGTTAAACACGAAAGAATGCACAACTGTCTAATAACGAAACGAAAACCGCCTGAGGACGTGTGGAACGCAATAAACTAGGGGGTTTGTCAATGTCATGTCAGATCTAAGAGAGATGTCTGAAAACTGTTCGGGGTGTCTGTTGTGATCGGTAAAGCATATGACACGACAAGCAGCTGCACAGAGAATACGGAAACCGTGATTAGCTAAGGTATAGCAATTTTCTAACCATCATCCTCTTTCACATAGCGACATCTCACGATTTCTCAGTATTCAAAAAGAAGTTATCATCAAACCGGAAATATGGATTGTTTGTGCAGTTGAACGAAAGATAGAAGACTCGGAAAAAATTAGGGATTTGATTACGTGTTCCGTCACATCCGGTCTATAATCTGAACAGTGTATGCGCATTTGTGGATCCCAAACGGAATCAAGCTGCACCTTACACGTATCGCATTTTGTGACCGTTCGACTACCCTTTACTCAGAGTCAAAACAGCCTGTCATCATACTATTTGAATACTTCACCAAAAATAGACAGGGAGAGAGAATAACAACGAAAAGATTTTTCTAGAAGTAACAAGCCAGATCAGATCTGAAATCCGAATACAAATGCTTCTCAGAACATGTTTTCACGTTCAGTAAATGGGCCTTTACCTACTTTTTATTTCTTCATGGGGCGAGCAAACAACACCTAAACAGCTGTCAGTCATTCAATAATAAAACTACGCAAGAAATCTGTTCGACACTTACCGTAGTATTCCCCCAGCCCATTTTTACTTAAGTGAGCGCTCATGTTGGTTTGCAGATATAAGAGAACTTGTGGTAATCTCTCATTCTTATTGTTTTTTCATTTAATGATAAACATGAATTAAAGTAGAAAGGATAGATCCTGTAATCTAAAGGGGAAGAGTGATGCGACACAATCATGTCAAAATCAGCTTAGTGGTTCACGGGAAATAGGATGAACAACAAGATGAACAGAAAAAGTGGGGACAAACACTTGATGAGGTTAGATTGCTGCCTGAGTGTGAGATGGACAGGAGAACAGAGATATCTGAAACTACAGTTGCAGGGTGCTGGGATCAGAAGCCAGAAAAATGGATAGGGAACCAACAGACCGATGGTGGGCTAGCGACTGCACAGACGAAGCCAGTGTTGAATCGCCCTACACAGAACACGATTAAAAAGAGGTAGAGGAAGTGAACCCAACTCACACCCCAAACGTGATTGCAGTACTCCAGATTCAAGTGCATTTGATTCATGCATTATAGTGGAAGTTTGAAAGGTATGCAAAACTTCTAGTACTAAAAGAAAACCAATCTTTATGGTCCCACGCGGGGACAGAGTGGTTGTTTGCAGAGACCAAAAAGTACCGAGAACACAGAAGAACGTGCAGGTGGAAGAGGAGCTTCTGGAAGTAAAGAAAGAGCAGTACGTATTATTTTTCAAAGAAATGTGCAAACCAGCAGTTTTGGAGGAATTGCATGACACGCAGTTCAATAAATCCAAGGCTGTTATTCGATCGAAATCGGAGTTTACTTACGTCCGATCGATCGTGTGTGATGTTTGATGAAGTCCAAAGTGAATAGGATAGAGAACAGCAGCACAGACTAGGTTGGAAGTAGAGAACGCCAATAATAAACAATAAGAATACAAAAGGGGATAGCACAGAATCTTGCGGAAGGACAGCAGACATGGCGAATTCCTGAAACAGCCCCGCCAATTCGGATCGCGATGTGAAAGATCACAGAGCTTGGAAGGTGCGTTTTATGTCACACCTGCTTTTTGGACTCATTTTTCTCAACCACTTTCGAGATGCATATATACCAACTATTGGAGTAGTAACCAAGCAGCGTGCGCTACAAAACTAAATTAAACATCCATTTCTTCACGTTTCGACTGTGCCATTTCTTAGTGACTTTTATGGTTCCAAAAGTGAGAATGTTACAGTGTTTCGCAGACGAAGAAATCGAATGGAAAAAACAGAAAATAATTAGATGATATACACGTCTCATGTGAGATTCCGGCGCAGAACGTGGTAACTATAGTCCACCAATCTGATCATATCTAAAGCTATTATCTTTTGTGTTTGGAACCAAACCCGGCGACGACTTTCAGATAGTTGCCAGGTTGATGATGGACCGAAATCAAGAGATTTAGATAAGGAATAATATTCATCAAGAGAGAACATGACACACTGATAAGGTGTCTGTGTTAGACAAAACAGCAATGGATGCATCGTTCAGAAAAAGGCTGCAAATGAAACCGGACCAGCGTATTGTCCACCTTTCACATCATCTCACTTTATAGTCTTGCCACCTTCAAAGCCCGTGAGGATAGCCTTAGAAAAAGGTTCTAACGTCCACTCAAACAGAGTGAAGGTTGAAAGCAGGTGAAGTTACTAGATAAGTGGGATGCACATTTTCAGTTTAAAAATTCCAGTCCATTTAGTTTTTCATGACGAATGATAAATAAATGTTTGACATCATGCGAAACACATGATCAAAGTGACGCCTTACTGCTGATGCCATGCCATCCAGACTCATTCACTGAAAGAAGAAGAATCCAGTATGAAGGACTCCAAGTCTCATATGTTATCATCAAATTGCCCGGACAGCGCATGATGATTCATTTCTATTTAACAACTTAAAAGCACAAGTAGTTTTTCGAAGTGCCTCCCAGAGCAATTTACACCTTGAGGAAGAGTCAGTCGGTAAACACATTTTGTATACGAACATATTCATATGCAAAAACAAAGGAAGCGGAAAAGCTTTTCCAACCTAGTCGGGTATCGAACAGAGAAACTCCAAAACTATACGCCAAGAAAATGCCCACTTTAACCACTATAAGACTGATTTAACTTTGTTCACTTGCTTTTATCCCACACCACGCAATTGGCGAGGTTATCAAAAGACTACGGCTCGAAACGGGGTGGATGACAAGTGCACGAGACATGCACAATGTAGAATTTAAAACAAAATAGACAAACACTGTGAAAGGGATCACCAATGGAACCGTTTGTTAAAGTTCAATGCAGATTCATGATTGTTACGAAGATTAGATCGTTGAATAGAAGAAAAACGAGGATTTCCCTTCTGGCCCAAAACAGTTCAGTTTAAGCGAGACACGAGCTATTGCGTCAGCAACTTTGCCGACCCAGTGAAATGGGTCCGCCGGTTAGCCAGAAGGCTTAGAAAAAAGACTGATTCAACCGAGCTGGATGTATGTATGTACAGAATGGAGTATTGGAAGCGCGAACCTAAGTGGAACCGAGAAACACAGGCAGTCAAAGTAACAGTGAAGCGGAACAAATGATCAATGGACCATGTGGTCTCCTATATGGAAATCAAGCCCATCACTTCCATATAATTCAGTGTGGTGTGTTGTAACTAAGTCAATTTCCCACCTCCGTTCACCACCCTGGTTAAAGGAAAGCGAACAAGTTTTCAATCTGGATTAAGAGTTCACCCAAAATTTAGATAGTTAAGTGGGCCATTGTCGGTCAGGCTGTTCTGAAAAGAGAAGTGGTATTCTAATCCACGTTTAGAATACATTTTTTGTGCTCCATTAATTCGAAAGTTGTAGTTCAGCTTTAAGTCGCAGCCACCCGATGAGTAAGTGAAACAACAAAGACCCAGGGGAGGGAGTGCTGGAGTGAAAGAAAAAAAAACACGAACAAGCCGCCACGTACATTCATTTCTATGGCGCAACATTAGAATCGTACGTCGAATGGCGACCGTGGTTCCAGATGAGGACCTCAAAGCGAAAAGCAGTGAAAAGAGTGTTGCCGCGAACCGTTGCACTCACACAGTTTTGAACTGTATACTGTTTAAAAGGAGAGTTCGACGGAGAGGGGTGAATGATCGAACAAAATTTATGCGTCAAGGGAGCGTGTCCGTATTCAATCATTGTTCGCTCAAAGCGGTGAAATTTTGATGTCCTGATAAGACTACTAACAACCTAATGAGTCACCCAAGGTATAAAATAATTATTGTCTTGGCAAAGTTACTACGGATAACATGAGAATCGCGACAGAAAAATTCTGTAAGTAAGCTAGCATACCTTAGGGACAATTTTTGGTCAAATTAGTTCCGAAGATAAAACGAAGAAGCAAACAGAAAACATCCATCTCCTCTCGTCCATAGAGAGCTGTAGAGACAAACATTTCGGACAAATCTGTCGTATGAGACTGACATAAAATCAATCGAAAAAAAGAAGATGAACGTCTGAAGAATTTGCAGAGAGAGACAGAGCGGGAAGGAAAGCAAAAGCATCACATCCGTACAAACAAACGCTAAAAACACAAAACGTGAAACAAATCATACTCACATACAAAGGAATAGACATACCTCCGGTAAGCAGGAAAAAGATCACACTCAGCTGATAAAACGAATGACCGAGGATGTTTTTCGCCATCTGTTGACTGATCAGTGGCTGTGTTCGACCGTATGGAGCCCGCTCGAGCAGTTCCGGTGAAGGCTGCTCAGTAGCAAGAGCCAAGCTGGCCAGAGTGTCCATAATCAAATTGACCCACAACATTTGAATGGCTTTCAGTGGACTGTCCTGTTAGACCAAGACGGAGAGCAATTATCACAAACACATTGGGCAAATATCACGCTGATAGGCAGGCACACACTCTTTATACCCAGATATTTGACAAAGCTCATCCGCATATGTCCTACAACCCAATGAGAAAATCTTATTATATAGTACTTCATCCAAATGGAAGATAGCTCAGGGAAAAGATGTAACAACTTAATGAATTCAAAAATATTATTGATACCATCCAAAAATACTCCATGCACACCAAGATTGATTTATGGATTAGCAGATCGACAGAACAAAAAAATGAGAAAATTGGGAAGGATATGCTTGCGAAAATTTCATTTTGTGTCGTTCTTAATAAGAAAGACTGGCATGTGCAAAATAACCTTAAATCCGAAATACCAGAATAATAATATGTAAGAGGAAAGAAAATATATTGATCAGCCACTATTTCACTGTACCGCATCACACGACAAATCTTAAAAGTTCCGTTCTAACACTGTCAAGGTGATTTATTTTTCCACAGAGGCCACCGCCAGAGGAGAGCCCTACGACTACTGGTGAACGGGAATTGTAGTCCATAAAAAAAGAAACGAGAGGTTCTCTCGTGCTAAACACTTGAAACAATAAAAAAGAAATACCTACCACAAACTATCGAGTAACATCACTCTCATACTGAGTTACCACCTTGTGAATGTACCGGAGTGGTTCAGAACACATAGCATTTGACGGAGATGCATAACTCAATAATGAATGAAATAAACATGCGTAAAAANGAGGCATCAGGTCATTCAACATGAGCCAAACAACGTTGCGAACACAGAACAGGCTAAAAAGCATTGCGCGGATAGTGACTTTAGCTAAACATTTCTATTGTAGTTTACCAGTGATTTATGGGAAATGAATCCTAGAGAGAGAGGCTGTCGTAAAAGCAGCTTTTTATTCCGCATGGGTGGTGACCGATACGGTGTTTTAAATGCTCTTATTGCTGCTGCTTTGCTTCTCAGTCTGTTTATATGCAGATTCTTTTGTTAATGCACTATGCACAGATACTTGCATATATCATGACAATATGAAGCAAAGAAACGAGGTCTGACGGTCTCCACGCATGAGCACGTAACAACCGAAGCGGAATCCCGTTAAGTGGAGTGATTGTACGGCGCCCATTATTGTGCTAAGTTTTTGAGTCGGTAATAAACATTTCACTTTTAATTCGATATCGGACTTGCAAATACACTGTTAGGCGTGAAAACGATTCAGGCGTATCGTATCGCGCAATAGGGTTCCCACCAAATGAAACCTCAGTGAGGGATTTGAAACAAGTGCAAATGGCTCACATCAAGGAAGCAGGCGCCAGCGAATGCGACGATAATGGCGACCACGTTCACCGTCAGTTGGAACTGTAGGAATTTGGTGATAGAGTCGTACACGTTTCTGCCCCACATTACAGCCTTCACAATACTGGAGAAATTGTCATCTGTCAGAATAATGTCCGACGCTTCTTTCGCTACATCCGTGCCTGCGATACCCATGGCAAATCCGACATCAGCGCGTTTCAGTGCCGGCCCATCATTGGTTCCATCCCCAGTGACGGCGACCACTTGACGTGAATCGCCTGCACGGGAGCGAATGATGTGACTGACCAACGTGTATTTATCCTGGAAAAATAAACCAGAAACATCGTAACAAAATGAAACGAAAGAGTACTGAGTAAAACGGAATGAAAACAAAGGTGTTTAGAAAAAATAAAATGCAATGTTAAAACCAATTCATCGAAGACTTCAAAAGCAATGAGTTGAATATAGGGTATTTAAAAGTTTTGGAAAATCGAAAGAAGCGAAAATCCATTAAAGTTTACGAAGATTGTCGAAAAGAGCAGAAAACTAACTTCAATTGATCATACAGACCGCTAGCTTCGAATGGGTCCACAGTAACGCCAAATGAATGGAACATTGAGAGGTTCAGAACATTACACATAGCTTTATACCTTGGGAAAACTTCTGCCAACACTTTAAGCTCATATCGTGCACGTACTTGCGTCTTTTTATTTATCCCGTACCTAATGTCCCGGAAAAACAAAAAACCGCCCCAGAAGGTGATTACTATGAGGAAATTCACGACATTCGAGCATTCAACCATTTCAAATATAGTATAAGAAATTTCAACAACTTCAAACGACATTATTGACCTCGGAAAAGGGGAATATTTTCCCACTTGAGATTTCATTCATTCGATCGCGCATTTGGTATTCCGAACGTGTGAACTGTGAGCAGCAAGTGGTGTTGAACAGTAGAATACAACAACAACAACAATAATAAAATCCTCGCCTAGTAGTCACAGTCTCGCCGGCAGATATAAATTTAGCTTAGGAAACGTAACCTCCTTGCGTTCAAACGAAACAGGATAGTCATAGTGTCCGATGCGAACGACGTTCTTTAACCACAAGCACCAAAATATAACGTTGCAGCATGAATTTTTCCGAGAGATGCTCGTGAATTAGATGGTACACGATACGCATTTTTTTATGAGACAATGGATACAGTTAATTGGCACACCCCTTTGAATGTTTGATTTATTTATCAGTGCCCGAATGCTCGTAAGAGATGAGTTAAAAAGTAGCTTTTTCACATAACGGGCACCACTTTTTTCACTTTATCTATGCACGTTATGGAATAAACGAATTTTAAACAATGATACGTGAAGTTGATAAACGAAGATAAATAATATCACAATAATGCGATAGAAATTCACTTGAAATACGTCCCCGAAATGCTTTTTATTGCGTGAACTGGTAGTAACGTTTCATAAAATTAGCCCACATGGTTTGTTGCAAATATTTCATCAGATGGGTCTTCTCATCGCTCTGCAGAAACATTCATGAAAAAGGTACAAAACTTCCACTTGACTGTCATCACTCCACAAAGCAATAGGACAACCAAAGAGCGGTTATTCAGTAAGAGTAAAAAATATCGATCGCTTGCGTCCAAAATTGCACACATAAAAAAATGGATTTGAAGACAAATTTTAGTTCGGGAACCGTCCGGTACCGGTGATCGGTATATGGTGAAACAGGGCGAACTACACGCGAACCATGACAGTGAATCATGAAAAATGGATGAAAAAGTAGGTCAGTTGAGGTCGCTAACGATGATGCCAGGGATAAATCCGAATGCAAAAACGCCTATCTTTTAGGTAGAATGGGTTTGAAACAACGACTGCACGAAGACGGCCAACACTCAAGGTACCGAACGAAAGCAATCGATCAACTATACCATAATTTAGGAAAACCGCAATGGACTTCATCAGCTACCCAATGGTGTTGGTGGATAGGTTGAACAGAATGAATAATTACCACCAGAGTTCGATTGCAGTGTAAATTCACTTGGACTACCAGAAACAACTAAATCTGTTGAGGGTAGGCAACCCCAATGACGGAAGATCGAATACCTATAGATTTTAATTCTCGATATATAATCATGGTGATGACACTTTAGATAAACTGACCAACAGTCAATAATGCGAATCAACAAGTAAATCATAGACAACAGTAGCGGGTTTATAATGCTCAGCTGAACGGCGACAAATCATTTAAATAAATGACTTTACCGAAGGAATAAGCACATCCATGCTTCCAGTGTGAAGCTGACTTTTCATTACAAATTAAACGACGAATAATGATTACGTAGTTATCATACTATTGATTTAAGTATGCAGATAAGATGGATGGTGTGATCTGTTCGTCATTATCAGGGCGGCACTAACCAAATCTATCTACCCCTAACAGACTGAATTATTCACAAACGGAATGTGTTGACTCAATCGCGCAAATCAACGGTTGTTGGCACAACGATAAAACGATCGTTTATAATCAGGGTAACCGAACGACCAAATGTGGAATTCAATTGAATAAATAAACGGATACAAAGAAGTGCAATTAGGTACGCTTATATAGACAGGCAGAGAAGAAAACATTTGGAACAGGGCTAAATGTAGCCCGGGAGTGGATCGAGCAAACCGCAGAAGCGTGAACCTGTATCCATTTGGAATACTATGCTACTGAAGATTCGTTTTGTACCCACCCCCCACGGAATACGCGTAAACATAGATAAGTATTACAATCTAGGTACGCGAATTCATCAATGTAGAGATTTGCGCAACCTAAGTGCCACAGCCTCTGTACTGTAGTTTATCGAGTGCGTCTAGCGATAAACATAAACTGTCGGGGGTGCGCGCGAACACAAATTACGAACCAATAAGCGACTATCAAACAAGACTAGAGACAGCTCGATAATATCAACTCGCAACATGATGGTCGACGCAACGCATAAAATGATTGAATGTGCGAACATCGGGATTACAAATGACCACCGCAAAAAATCTATACAAATGATGAAAGCAGCTGGAAAAAATTTCTCCGATTCCACTTTCAACTTTCCTGTCTTTCATCTACTGCTTCATCCAAATGGTTAAGCAGAAGACAGCAACCAAAACTGGCGCGCGAAAGTGCATAGTTAACGGTTGTATAAACTGAACTGAAAACTATAAGAATCACCTAGGAATCACAATCCGATGCATCATAGATGCATTCACATAACGAATGAGTAAATTCAAATACGTTTTACATAGGAGTGCGATTCTGATCCGAAAAACGCATACTGGTTGAACGGCCACCACTGGACCTGAACGTAGTGACGACCAACAAATCATCAACATATCATGCAGCCTGGATCAAATTATTATATATGATTATTATTATTATGTTGGATGATTTCCTCTCGTCTTGCAGATGTCATCCTGAACTCTAACGCACTAGTTTAGTGCTTTAGAGTTGAAGATGAGTGGATGTAGACGTGACTGAGTTTGAAAGGAGTACCTGATGATAATTAATCAAACGCTGCACTATTTGACCTCTCCTTCCAGATATGTTAAAACTGAACTGGAGCAAGGCTGATTTGGCGAACCCACCGAACCCTGAAAACGAACAGCGGACACCCGTATTCAAACCCTAAACGTCTTTTTCACCTTCTACATTGAAAAGTCACATAGATGAACGAAACCATGTATCACACAGAAAGGGATTTCAAGTGAACTCTGCATATTATTCTTGCTGACGTATGAGAAAAGTCGGTTCTCTACATTTGATGCAGTTTTATTCAAAGGAATATACTGGAAGAGAATTGGTTGTTTCCGAAAGCTAAACATGATCGTTTTTGCCTGTATTCTTAAGTCGAAAGTATATTGCACACGTTGCACCACAAGTTGGGAAAGATATTTCGAGCATTTACTCGCGAAATGCTCACAACAAAAGCTCATTTTATGAACACCTGTTTTTGTTAGTTGTGCTGCGACGTATGATCTGTGAGAAACGGATTGTTATTAGTGCACAACCAGTTCTAATAAGCCGTTAAAAATTCATCATAACGAAGTGGATTTATGGACACTACTCAGAAAATAAATGCTAAAACGCAGTCTAGTAGACACAGCGATTCAAAAAGAATAACTGTCAGCCAATCTGAATACATTCGAATGTGAAGGAGAACGTCATTCCTACATTCTTCAATTGTGTTCCTTTAGAAAAATTCGCTGAAGGGTCGTACTTACATGCATCAAATTTTAGAGAAGAATTCTGATAATACCTCGTGAATCATTAAAGACCAAAATGGATCTGGGCTAGATAAAAAAATCAGTGCACAGGCTAAACATTATTTCCCCAAGGAAAAAAATTAAAAACTCAAGGGCTGAAGTCATCTCTAAAAGCCCATCCAGCAGTCAAGCATCTATTTACCACTCGGATATAAGAGGAAATACCACTCTGGAGATGTGCAATCCTGTCTCAATAACCTAGCGTACCATAAGTACAATAAATTCCATTTGAAATGGCGCTTTAAATCACTTCATTATTACAGCAACCGATGAACCATAGAGATATAATTGATTTTCCGGCATCAAACATAAGACAATACACAGTACGACTACCGCAAATCGCACATTTCGAAATGGCATTGAAGGGAGTAACACTATCAAAAAGAAAGGAGTCTATTTGTAGACTGTTGGTGGAATACTTCAACTATGGCTCACATCTATGTGATAACAAAGAGCGGATGGCGATTCCGAACCCACGTATTGCTCACTCCCATCCAAATGCCACGGTATGATTTCGTTTTATTTCTGCGTTCATTTACCGGTCCCTGGAGGATAATTTTGCCAAATATTTCCACATGATTTCGGGAGAGAGAAACATTTATACGAAACAGATCATTAATCTTAAACACTCGGCTGCTGAAACGCATCATTAAAATTGAAATGTATCTGCAGTATTCCAGTAGCTAGATGTTTTCTTGTGAAATGCAGCTGATGGCACTCATGTTGAATGAACATGGTTAGCGACAACCAGTCGAAGGGGTAGCAGGAAGCTACGAAACCTTAGGCCATTGACAACGATGTGCGTAGTATATATTCAATTGTCTTAGGTGTATCAACTTCACGGTTTGGGGCATTAATCGATGGGTCCGGAAGTGATATATAAAACGATCGAGCTTGAAACTAGCTGTCAGTCTTGTTCGAATAGCCGCTAATGGATGGGTTCCGGAATAGTCAGTCAAAATCGCACAGTTCATAATTTGGGCTATCA